TATATATTTCATCGAGACCTTTTCCACCCACCCCACCCCCTACCGCTGCTCGTGTTGTTCATTCCTCACCACTTTGGTTTCGCCCAAGCTGTGTGTCTCTGGGTCCAGAGAGAGCGTGGCTGGCACAGAATAGGTCCGCAGCCCTCCGCTGCTTTCCACGCCCGTCACGCACGCGTGTGGGTGCAGGCGTCTGGAGGAAGTCTAAGGAAGGCGATACCCCTGCTGTTGCTCTCATCGCTGTTTCTATTCCAGTTGACAAGATGTTCGATTTTGGTTCTTCCTTGAAGAGGGGTCCCGTGTTGATTTCGGTTCCTCCTGTTCGTTTCATTCTGTTGTTCCATGTCTATGTATTTGTGTGAGTGCATTCATGCGTACGTTTTGGTTGTTGCTGTTGTTTGGCGCACATCGGCTGGCCTGCCTCTCTTCTATGATGGCTTTGGTCGGCTCTCTGTGTGTCTGTGTGTGGCGCGGCGAAGTTGTGGGCCTCCTTGTTTCAGCCTTTTTGCTGCCATGCACTGTGTGTGTGTGTGGTGGCGGTGGGGTGGGGGGTGCTCTGATTGTGCTTGTTCATTGTATTTCTTTGCTTTCTTCTTGGTCTGTGAAATCTTGTTTGTTTTGTGTTCTGTTTGACCCACTGTATCCCATCTTGCGCCGGCGACGGTGCGATGGGGATGAATTCTCTCTAGAATTTCTCTCTGGTCCATTTTTGAAAACTGTGTGCTGATGTTTCTTCTTGTGACGTGTCGCAATTGCTGCTGCGACCCCGTAGGACTATTCCCCGTTATTCCCGTCCCTCCACCAAGTGTGTGCGTTTATGTGTGTATTTGTGTGCGACAACACACACACACACACAATGTCTGAGGCACAACGGGGAGGGTTAATGATAATGCAAATAATAACAATAATAATGATAAGCGATGTGGCAACACGGACACTGCGGCCACTATTATGATTACTGCTGCTTCTGTTCTTTTATATCGGCATGTATGTGTCTGTATGTGCATGTATCTACGCTTATGAATGTAACGTGAGGACTATTGCGTGCAGCAGCAGCGGCAGTGTCCTTCACGAGTGAGTTGTGCATGCCACCTCCGCTCTTTATGTGTATGCGCTTCTCCACCATCGCCCGCTGTTTCCAACTTGGTTACCCGCTCTCCCCCTCTCTCTGACTCTCACGCTTCTCCCCTTATATATACTTTTCCTTCTGTATGCAGATGCAATGAGAGTAGAGGACAGTTGGGTACCTTGTTTATTTTTTTCCCCTTTCAACGGCACGCTCGGTTCTTTGGTCTTCATCATTATTCCATATACCTCATTTTTTTTTTGATATTGTGTGTCTTCATTCTATATATATATATATATATATTTCTTTATTTATATATTCATTTATATATAAGTATATACAAGCGGATTTACTTGTTTTATTTTTCTTTACTTCTTGAAAAATTCGTCTATTTGTTATGATTGTTGACCTTCGTTCACCCTGCGTTTGCTGTGCCGTCCCTCTCTCCGTCTGTGCGTATGTCTGTCACCCTCTCTCTGTGTGTGTGTGTGTGTGTGTGTGTGTGCGGTTCGCCCCCTCCCCGCAGCGCTGCTTCTCAGCGGCGAGAGTGCGCAGCGGTGCGTGGACGCAGAGGCAAGAAAAACGCCGGCGACCCGCACCGACTGAAGAGGGGAAAAAAGGCAAACGGAAGTAAATATGCACTGACGAAAGGTGCCTCTGCTCCAATCGAACGGTAGCAGCGAGCAGAGGGGGGGAGCGCTGTGCCGCACATCATACAAGCGCGTCTGCTTTTTGCCGACATCACCACACACACAAACACACATAGAGTGGGAGACGCAGCATGAGAGAAGTGCAGAGAAAAGAGTTGCTGCTTCTGCACATGGACTGAGGTGAAACAGCACACCTCTGCACCAGAGCGAAGCGATGTGAAGTGCAAAACAATGCAGCGCTCTACTCTCCAACATGTACAGTGGTTTTGTTATTACTACTGACGCTGCTGCAAGCGGCAGAAATAGTGAAAGCAAGGTTTAAAGAGTGAAAGAAAAACCAACTTGGGACATAGCTGGATCCTACCACTGTAACAGCAACCACTGCTACTCTTAATGTATGCGGAATGGATGCTGGTGTAACTGCCTCCAATCAAAGTAAAAGAAGAAAAAAAAATGTACAGAGAAGCAGCATTAATAGCGGTAGCAGGGGTGGTAGTAATTGAGCCCAATATGATTATATCGGGTTTTTTTTTCCCCAAGCGGTGTGGGTAATTTGAGCAAAACGGCGTCCAAAGAGGACGTCTGTATCAGACTTTTCTTAGGATTTCTTTGCTTTTGTTCTTGTTACTCCAACACGAGCAAGAAGGGGAATGAGTTGCTGAAGAGAGACGCGTGCAATCTCCAGCAGGTTTTAGTAATGAATCTCTTTGTTCGGTGGTCGTAAACCCTGCAAGCCAAACTAAGAAAAAAGGAATACTGAATGCGTTTTCTGTGGATACTCACCTGGCTAGCTGACCGGCCGCTGATAATGGCTATCTACCCTGGCGTGATGTCTTGGTGGAATAATGGCTTCTTTCTTGTTGTACTTCTTTTTTTCCTGAGGCTCAGAAGGCACCCACATCCACGTACATTTGTGGTGTAAAGCAGCTACATGTTAGACCGTTCCAGCAACCGCAGCAACTGGCGGGGATGCTCCTGCGTCAGTGTGGTTGGACACCAACCGTAGGAGCACCGCCACAACGGCCCCGAGCGTGAATATGACGGGGGGGGGCGCGCAGTTCTCCCTTTTAGTGTGTAGGCGGCCGTTGGTCCAGCGACACACACAAACACGCACACGGGACCCAGCAGGCTTGGGAGTCCAGTCTTGTGCAAAGCACTGCAGAAGGGTAGCACGTTTTGATGTTGGGTGGGGGCATGAAACCAATCAACTACTGAAGCAAACAGAGGTGGGGAGTGGGCTGCTCCCGGTCCTGTATGATAGGCGTTGTGTCCGCATGGGGAGGTCGTTGAGGGCAGAGCCCTTTCACTGCAAGAAGGTACTGGAGAGGCTTTTTTTTCGTGAAGCATAGCTTCTCCACATTTTCCCCATCCAGAGCGAAGTGGCATCGGAGACCACTTTAGGGCGGGGCAGCGCAGTAGGTGCAGGTTCAACTCTTCGTACTTTGCGCGCTGGCTCAGTTTCACGGTGTCCGGCCTGAGTCCATGTCTAACCATGCGGTGCCTTGTGAGTTCATGTTCGCTGTGGCCACTGCTGCGCCCACACACCGGGCACACAAAGTCAGCGAGGGGCCTGTTCACAGGAATATCATCCTCCTGTGGCCTCCAGTGTTTCCCTGTTGTGGGTGTCCCTTTTCCCCCATAGAAAATTCTGCAGTGTGACGCAACTGGGGTCTATGTGGGCAAACCGTTTCAAGCGCTTCTTGCATTGTTTTTCCCTCCTCTGCCCAGGTCAGCTGGTGGGTCACACCTCTCTCTTGCCTTATCATGACTTCTGTTGTGAGGGATGCGTCCTCCTGTTAGTGTTTTTGGAAGCTTCGGTGGGGCTTCATCGGGTTCTTCCTGTCTTATTGCAACAGTTTTTGGAGAGGGGAATGCTTCCTAATACTAGATCAGTGATGTCAACGAAGGCAGCCAACACGCAGAGCAGCAAGCATCATAGTGTGGTGCCCCCAGTAGAAGCGAACAGCGCCAGGTCGTATGTGGGGCGCGGCCTTGCCGACCGTCAGGCCCTGTACGCCGAGTCGTTGAGGGACCCCGCACTCTTCTGGAGCAGAGTGGCGGCCGACAACTTCTACTGGGAGAAGCTGTGGCCTGCGGATAAGGCGGTGCTGGAGTACAACTTTGACAAGAGCAAAGGAAAGGTCTTCATTCGGTGCTTTGACGGTGCACTAACAAACATGTGCTACAACGCCCTCGACCGCCACCTCCCACAACACAAGAACCGCGTGTGCTTCTACTGGGAAGGCAATGCGGTAAATGAGAGCAGCGTAGTGACGTACGGGATGATGCACGAGGCCGTACTGCAGATCGCGTCTCTGTTGCGGCACCGCTACGGCGTCCGGAAGGGCGACGTCATCACTCTGTACCTCCCCATGATTCCCTTTGCGGTGCAGGTGATGCTGGCGGTCGCCCGCCTTGGTGCCGTTGTATCGGTTGTGTTCGCCGGCTTCTCGGCCCAGTCACTCGCCTCACGCATTCTCGACTCCAGCAGCAAGCTTATCATCACTGCAGACGCCTCTTCCCGGGGTGAGAAGCCCATCCCACTGAAGAAGATCGTTGACGAGGCACTTGCTGAATGTGAAGAAGGGGGGCACCACGTTCAGTGTCTTGTTTACGAGCGGCACCAGCGGAAGGATGTTGCGATGAAGGAGGGCCGCGATCTGTGGTACGACGACATTGCCGCAACGTTGACAGCCCAGCAGGCGGAGGACTGCCCTATAGAATGGGTGGGCGCGGAGGACACGCTCTTCATGCTATACACCTCCGGTAGCACAGGCAAGCCCAAGGCGCTTCTGCACACTGCGGGCGGATACATGGTGTACGCGGCCACCACCTTCAAGTACAGCTTTGACTACCACGAGGACGATGTGTACTTCTGCACTGCGGATATCGGCTGGATCACGGGGCACTCGTACTTGGTGTATGGGCCCATGCTCAACGCTGCCACTTCGGTGCTGTTCGAGGGGTTGCCGACATACCCCACTACATCCCGCTGGTGGGAACTTGTTGACAGGTACGGCGTCACAATATTCTACACGGCCCCCACCGCTATTCGCTCCCTCATGAAGGTAGGTGAGGAGCCCGTGAAAAAGACATCCCGCAAGACGCTCCGCATTCTCGGTTCCGTGGGGGAGCCGATCAATGTGGAGGCGTGGCGGTGGTTTCACGGTGTGGTCGGTGAGGGCCACGCGGACCTCATCGACACGTGGTGGCAGACGGAGACCGGCGGCCACCTCATCACGCCGCTGCCCGGCTGCACACCGCAGAAGCCTGGCAGCGCTTCGCTGCCGTTCTTCGGTGTCGAGCCGGCGCTGCTCGATCCGGTCACCAACGCGGAGATCGAGGGNCCGCAGAAGCCTGGCAGCGCTTCGCTGCCGTTCTTCGGTGTCGAGCCGGCGCTGCTCGATCCGGTCACCAACGCGGAGATCGAGGGCCCCGGCGAGGGCCTGCTGGTGGTAAAGAATGCGTGGCCAGGGCAGGCACGCACCATCTATGGCGACCACCAGCGCTTCGAGCAGGTGTACTTCCCCGTGAACGGATACTACATGACCGGCGACGGTGCACGCCTCGACGAAGACGGCTACTACTGGATCACCGGCCGCGTGGACGACGTGCTGAACGTCAGCGGTCACCGCATCGGCACCAGCGAGGTAGAGGACGCCGTGAACACGCACCCCTCTNTTCGAGCAGGTGTACTTCCCCGTGAACGGATACTACATGACCGGCGACGGTGCACGCCTCGACGAAGACGGCTACTACTGGATCACCGGCCGCGTGGACGACGTGCTGAACGTCAGCGGTCACCGCATCGGCACCAGCGAGGTAGAGGACGCCGTGAACACGCACCCCTCTGTCGTGGAGAGCGCCGTTGTCGGCGTGACGCACGACGTGAAGGGGGAGGGCATCTACGTCTTTGTCACCTTCCACGAGGGCGTGGAGATTGACAAGGAGCTTCTGAACTCCGTGAAGGTCACTGTCCGCACCGTCATTGGGCCGCTGGCGACACCGGACCACGTCCACCCCGCGCAGTGCGGACTGCCGAAGACACGCTCGGGCAAGATCGTGCGCCGCATCCTGCGCAAGGTCGCTGCGGGTACTTGCGACGATCTCGGCGACACCTCCACCCTCGCCGACCCGGGCATTGTGGAGAAGCTCATCGAAGGTAGGAGTTGGGTATCGGTGTGACGACGAGGACCGGGAAATGTTATTCCGCTGCCCCACTTCACACCACGAAAAAAAAAAAACAGCGTACATCTCTGTCCGTGTGTGTGTGTGTGTGTGCGTGTGCGAGCCTAGCTTTGTTGTGTGCGTTTTGCATTTCTTTGTCATTCTTCTACTTTTCGCAGATTACAACTGTTTCTCCGGGCCGCGCTTGTTGCATGCGAAGATGGGCGTGTCAGTGGCCTAATGCGCGTTCGTGCTCTAGCGTACGCTCTCTATCTGTCTATCTATCTACTTGTTTCTGTGCGGAAACTCAAACTACGGGGTCACATTCATTTCTTTTTTTAGCTTTCGCCAGTAGGCAGCCGTGTGGGTTCTTTTTTTTCGGTTTGCTTTCCTCGGTTTTTTTTTTGGTTGTTCTCTTCTTTGTGAGGGTAGGTGCGTGTACAGTGTGGGAAACTATTCTCCGTGTTGCTTCATCATCATCATCATCATCATTGTATCGCACGACTCCCCTCCCCCTTTCCTCCTTCCTACACACAAACACACATGCGCCTGTTTCTTTTTCGTTTGTTTGTTGTTGTTGTTGTTGTTTTTTGCAAGCGACGTAAGTCAATATGGTGATCTCCATCTCTTTTCCCTTTGAAGCCCGTCGCATATGCTGTTTCCAGTGGTGTTTCGTCGCGAAACGTTGGGGGGCAAATGTCCGTGAGAAAGCGAGATGACGGAACAAGTTTCCCGACTCGAGACGTTTGCTGGCCTTGCCGCTTTTATCTCCTCTCTCTCTCTCTTTCTCTTTCTCTTTCTCTCTCTCTCTCTGTGTGTGTGTGTTCGTGGCGAATGTCACATGTCAAGGGTGATATCGCGACTTTCTTTCTACAAGCCACCATTCGGAGCGGTGGTGTGTCTGTGTGTGTGACGTCCACGTCAATGCAACAGGGGGGAATAGCGAGTCGCCATTATATATTTATATATATTGTCACTGAATAATTATTCTGTTTCTGCGCGCGCTTGTATAGATATATATATATATATATATATATATNATTCTGTTTCTGCGCGCGCTTGTATAGATATATATATATATATATATATATATATGTATATGTATATAAGGTGTGCGCTTGTGTTGGTCGGTGTTTCTCTGCCCTTCCCACAATGCTGCGGCGTCGGTTGGGTTCTCCTTCACCCCCCACGCCCAGACTCCTCGTCTTCTTCTTCCGGCATCTAATAAGAGCCGTGCAACAGACGAAGTGTGTAGAAAGGCGGTGGAACAACTTCGCTCAGGGAAGGTAGGCAATACCTCAAAGGACAAATGAAACACGCCTCTTTCGATCACGGGGTGGTTGCTGCCGAGCGCCAGGAAACGCAGCTGTCGATGGATGAAAACGACTTGCTGCTCCTCGCGCAACGCTGCTTCCTCTCTCTGGATGTTGTGAAGGAGGCCCGCGGCGTTTTTGAGTATTATTGTCTGCTGGAGGAGGAGCAGCAAAAGCGGCGGAAGCGTCATGGTCTCATGGAGAGAGCAAAGCGTGGGGANTGAGTATTATTGTCTGCTGGAGGAGGAGCAGCAAAAGCGGCGGAAGCGTCATGGTCTCATGGAGAGAGCAAAGCGTGGGGAGTCGAAGTCGACGACGGTAAGAAACTCGGTCTCGTTGTCACCAGTGGCAAGATCCAGTCCTTCAATCTTTCGCGGTGGATTGGGAAAAGGAACGGAATGCAATGACGCTGGGAAAGGTCACGATACAAGCGCCGATGGTGCGGAAACCGCTGTTGTGGTGGAGACGGCGCCCCATTTGGCCACTAAACAGACTTCGTGTCAGGCCTCGGAACAGCAGCAGCACGAGGAGGAGGCGAAGGAGCCGACGTTAGGGGTGGAGGGACTGCAACAATTCTTCCACGACCTCGGCCTCGGCATGTCGTCGCTCGAGGTGTCAGATATAGTGCGCACCTTCAACGATGATCCGATTGATTTTGTTCTGTGGCAGCGCAACATTGAGGCGGCGGCGGCGGCGGCGGCAGCAGCGGCTTCCTCTCTATCAGGGTCTGGGCCGTCAAAGAAGTCCAAGTCGCCGTCTCGCGCTTTGACACCGAGGCGTAAAGAAAACGGCAACAATGGTAGCGCAGGCAGCAATAAGGTTTCTACACCCACAGGGGTATTGGATGGCACCGGTAAAGGGGAAGTGACACCACAGCGGAGCCGTAAGAGTCCGTCACGGAACGGTGTGACGTTCCCCATATTCCTCTTCATACTGTCTCATGTACTGCTGGAGCATGAGGACAGCGCAGAGGCGAAGGACAATGAGGTGCGTGAAGTGTTNCCATATTCCTCTTCATACTGTCTCATGTACTGCTGGAGCATGAGGACAGCGCAGAGGCGAAGGACAATGAGGTGCGTGAAGTGTTCCACATCGTTGACGTGGACGGTGATGGATATATCTCGGTGGGAGATGTGCAGGCAACTGTTCAGCGCTTAGTGAACGAGGGCGCCTTGTCCGACGACCGTGACATTCAACAACTTTCCGCTATGAACCTAACGGAACTCAACACAGCGATGCTAGAGTGTGACATAGATGGCGATGGGCACATCACAATGGAAGATCTGCTGTGTGTCTTGCGTTCGTGACGCACGCAGTAAGATGGAACTTGTTGTGTGGGTGTTGGGAAACCTTTGGAGGATGTACATTGAAATGCTGCTTCTCTGTCAGAGTGTGTGTGTGTGTGTTTGTTTTGCCGTTATCTGTGCTTTTCGAGAGGAGATGAAACCTTTTTGTTGGTGCGTCATGTCTGTTGTTGATATGCATTCTGCTTCCTCCTCTGTCTGTGCTTCTGTGCGTGTATGTGTACTGTAAACACACGCACACACACACCCCAAAAAAAAAAAATAGATCGGGGACTCAGAGCACTCCACCAATGGGTGTGCCGCTGCTGCTCACTTGGCTCAAGCGGCGCTTTGCCTCATGCTTCTTGCCCAGCAGCTGCAGCCCCGCCGCTGATTGCCTGTACATTGATGTCAACGGGCTGGTCTACCAGGCCGCCGCGCTCGCAACGGCAGTTGAGGTCGCTGCTGGTGACGTTGACGCGGCCATTCTGCGGCGTCTCTTCGATCTTCTGGACGACGTGGTGATGCGCCTCGTCCGCCCGCGGTCGCTGGTGTATTTGGCTGTCGACGGCATCTCGCCCATGGGGAAGCTGGCGCAGCAGCGTTCCCGTAGGCGGCGCCGCGGCGGTGGTACACGCGGCCGCAGCGCTGTGGAGTGGGACAGCAACAGCATCAGTGTTGGGACGCCCTTCATGTCTCGGCTAACGGACGCGTTGCATTATTACTGCGCCAGCCGGGCTGAGCGCATCAATGGTGAGCGTCTACGTGATCAGCAGCGGCGCGCCACCTGCAACAGCCCCGTTGAGGATGATAAGAAGGCGGAAGTGGCCGTTGCTTCTCCTATTGTGTTTGTTGTTGACGATGTGTGGCGCCCTGGCGAGGGCGAAAACAAAATTGCGGATGCCATTCGCCGCTTCCGCTCGCAGCCCAACTATGACCCCAACACATCCCATGTCATATGCAGTTCCGATACGGACGTGACAGTGTGCTCGCTGATCCTCCACGAGCCCCGCATTCACGTTCTCCGCTATGAGTACCCCGCGAGCAGCACGTCGCGTGCTGAGGGGGGCAGCTGGCGAAATCAGGTGGGCGACGGATGGGCCTCCACATTTTTCAGTATCCACGCCTTCCGCGAGGAGTTGCGGGAAAAACTGCGGCTGCAGCATAGAAGTGCAGACTCTGCGGATGAAGTGGAGAGACGGAGCCGGCAGTTTGAGCGCACACTACATGATGTGGTATTTGTGTTGTTGTTATTCGGTAATGACTTCCTTCCATCGGTGGGTTGCCGTATTGAAGAAGGATTCCTTGATGATCTCTTGGAGCTCCTCGCCACGGATTTCATCTCGCGTGACCGCTCTATCATTGACCCTGCCACAAACACAATTCAGTTTGACGCTGCGCGGTACGCGTTGGATTGTCTCGCCGAGATGCGAAACGAGCGTGACGGTGGCGACCTGTTTGTGAACAACGGCACTGGTGGTGGTGCCGACTGGGGTTTTGAAGATGACGCATTCCTCCAGCGGAAGCAGGCGGAAGAGGAGGCGCAGGCACCGCGGTGCTACGCGTACTGGACTATGTTACAGTGGTCACTGCAGAACAGTGCGGGCGTGGTGGAGCACTGGGGATGCTACTACCCGTATAGCAGTGCACCACCGCTGCACCTGCTGCGGAAGTACTGCGGCGTGCTCTCCTATGATGCGCTGATGCAGCTGGCGGAAAGGCAAAGCCACACGAGGGGTGGCCACGGTGCCCCGGCGCCTTCCACTGAGGCGCAGAATAGCAGCGTCTCCAGGGTGCGTGGTTCTGGACCAACCGATGTGCTTGTGCAGCTCCTCGTCCTGCTCCCGGCACGAAGTACCGCACTCTTACCCTCAGCTGTTCGAAACGCGTACCACGAGATTGAGCCGTTGGTGCTCGTGCCGGTGGAGCGTCTTGACTTCGCTGCTATTGAGGCATGGTGTGCGGAGAAGCGACGTCTCTTCACGGAGGAGGAGCGGACACGATTCCACGCCTACGCACTGGCCGCCGGATCCCGCGTGCTTGCGAGCGGAGCGCTGGGTGAACCGATTAAAGGCAGTGAGATGATTTTTGTCGCCGATTGGGATGCTAAGGAACTTGCTAAAGAGTTGCAGCTCGCCGAGAAGGCGGTTCCTGTGGAGAAAACGACAAGCAGCACGAGCAACAGTACTCCCACGCTTACATCGAGTTCAACAGGCTCCCTTGCTGCCTCTTTTTTCAGTTCGCGTCCAGTGCGTAAGGCTGCTGCTTCGGCAGCGGCAATAGCGCTGCTCTCCACACCAAAGGACAACGGCGCCCCGGTCCACAGCAGCAGTGCCAACAACGACGAAAACAAGAACAAGGTGGAGGTACCTGTGGTCGTTTCTCAGGAAGAGGCGCGTCATTTGGAGGAAGTTGAGCTATTGCAGGGCAGCAGCTTCAGTTTCCTTGCCGCACCCACCGAAGTGCTAGGCGACGTGTCAATAGTGAAGGGTGTTGGTGCCATTGTTGGAGATACCTTCGTCTGTGGCCAGCACAGCTGCGGGCCTTTGTCGCGGCATCCCCAGACAATGCGCGTGCGCCTGCGGTGGCGAATTGCGTCGAAGCCGTTGCTAGACTCGGTGAGATTTGCGCCTGATCTCCTTCCAGGGTACCACGCACCATCACCGCCGCCTCCGCTACCGTCGCGTGATGACACCGGTCGAGCCGGCGTGAAGCGCACGGCGGCGATGGCGGACTGCTTGGTCGATGGCGATGGTGATGATGACCTGCCGGAAAACCGCACTGTCGCGTCGGAGCTGGAGCGGAAGAAGGAGGCTGTGCGGCGCCGGATAGAGGCACTGCAGGCCCGAGCAGCAGGAGGGACCGCGTAGTGTAAGAAGAAGGGGAGGAAGACTAAGAAGAGAGTTTTATGTGTCCTGTCTGCTACTGGTCTGGCTCCAGAGAAGTTCATGGGACGCTTGTAATAAACGTTCGAAACGTCCGTCGCGTGTTTAAAGATTATATTGTGCAGGGAGGATTGTTTCTTTGACCGCCGCAATGCAGACAATGTTCATATGTGAAAGAAGAGAATTAGACTTGTTCTGCTAGCCCTTCGTATTCTGTTGAGTTTTTTTTTGTTGCTTGGTTGAGCAGTCGTTATAGTTCGTTATAGCGGTGAAATAGGGGAACGCAAGACGAGACTATCCAACGCATTTTTGGGTGACTCTTTTGCTTTCCGGCATCATTATTTATTTGGCAACAGGAGAAAAAAGGGGGGGGAATTAGTTTGGCGTGCGAGAGAGGAAGGAGGCATAGAGTCGGCGAGTGGGCCGGAAACGAAAAAGTAGACGTCATGACACTCTACTCCATCACCATTCATCCCCTGCGGCTGAGTGCCTACTTCTGTCGCCAGGGATCTGTCTATGTTATCCTTATATCACGCAAAGGGGTGGAGATCGCGTCTAACCCCGGTGTTTGCGTCGTGCCCGGCGAAGTAGAGTTCAGCACCCATGCCGAACTGGACCGCACGCACAGTTTTCAGCTGGCGTTCGACACGCCGAAGGATCGTCGCATGGTCGACTTCGCCGTGTACGACGTCACAAACCGCAAGAACAGCGCGAAGCTCACAGGGTTTGAGATACCGCTGGCCGGCATGTGCAGCGTCCTGGCGGGGGAGTCGATGTGTGACAAGAAGGCCGTCTCATTCCGTGTTGCAGGCAAACCAGGGCGGCTCGAAGTCATCTTCCGCATGCATCCGGTGTCGAGCCCGCCGCCGCCGCTGCGGATGAGCGTAACAGGGGGAGCATCGTCAGCAGCAGCAGCGGCGGCGACCCGGGTAGCAAAGGAGGGTGGTGAAGGGCAGCGGCATCCAGGAAGGCTGCCGTTCCGCACAGTGGAGTCACTCGCGCGGGCCGGTGTGCTACCGAGTGAAACAGAGATGGTCGAGATGGACGCCGATCTCGCGCAGGAGATTGCCGCCCGCACCGCACTGCTCTTCCCCAGCGAACAAGAGCTTCAGGAGCGTGTGCAGGTGCTCGAACGGGAGATTGCGCAGCTCGAATACGACGCGCAGTACGCAGCGAAGGACAAAGTCGCTACCGGCTCGGCCGCCTCCGTTGCGCTGCGCAACGAGGCGAAGCACTGGCAAGATATCGCGCGGGAGATCAACGCCAAATCGGCGCATGAGGCCGGTATCGCGCCTATCCTGCCCAGCACCCGCCAGCCTCCCTCGACGCAGAGCAAGGCCCTCATTGCCGAAGTCGAGGACCAGCTGGCCGCCGCGAACGACAAGATGCGCAAGCTGGAGGCGCTGCAGAGCCACCGTGACGTGTCGAAGGAAGTAATTCCGCTGCTGGACGAAGTTGAACACCTCGAGGCGGTGCTCGTGGATCTCAAGAAGAATGAGGAGAAGACGGAAACCAAGGAAAAGTTGGCTGGTGACAACACGACATACGTGGACCAGTGGGAGAAAATCGCTGGAGAGCTGTATGACAAGGAGTCTTTGGTGGAGCAGCTCCAGCGCACGGTTCTCGCGCTGAACCGCCTACAGTTTGAGCCCTACCCCGCCGGCGTCGAGGCAGGATTCATGGAGGAGGCGCCAAAGGAACTGCCATTCGTTCGCGACAACAAGAGGCGGTTATCGAATGTCCCTTCGACGAGTCCACCTTCTTCGGTGAATGCAATCTCAGCACGACGTGTTGTTGGCGGAGGCGCGTGTGGCGGCGGCGGTTCGGCAGACCTGCTAGACGACCTTTTCGGTGCGTCCCCCACGCCGGCACAAGCAGCTTCACCACCGACAGCACCACCACCACCAGCTGCAGCTGCAGCAGTGCCCAACCCGGCTGCACTACCAGTCGCAAGTTCCCCAATCCCCTCCGCACTGGAAGAAACAGCACTCTACCAGCCGCCCCCAGCTGCGACAGCCAAGCCCGTGTGGTCGCAGCAGCCACAGCAACAGCAACCAACGGCGCCTCCATTGTCTTCTCAGCCAGTGGCTACAACGAATGTGAACGATGACAACAAGAATAATAACGCTTTACTGCAACAGACAGGAAGTTCAAAGGCCCCAGACACAGCTTCTGTTACGCCAGCATCGCAGAAACCATCCCAACCCTCTGGTCCGCAGAACCTTGAAAGAAGTGTGCCGCCCGATCCCCCAGTGACCCCAGCGTCAACGCTTTCTTCTTTGCAGCGGCCGTTTCCTCAGGCTTCGTCGTCGCCGCCGCAGCAACAGCTGACAGATTCTCAGTCTACACAACCAGGCATGCAACCCATGCAGGTAGGCCCGGTATGCCCTTCACAACAGGAGGTTGGCGGTTTGCCACAGCAGCCAAATGCGCAACCGATTTCACAGGTCTCCCCGACTTCGTCGCAGGTGCCGCAAACTGAAGTTAAGCCGTTACAGCCGTACACAGGGAGCACTCAACAGCAAATCCCCCAACCGAGCGCCCCGCAGCTACAGTCTTCTCAGCATGCCGGTCCAGCATCGCCGCAGCTTCATGTTCTGGGACCCCAGATGTCTGATCAACATACTGCGAATCAGCCAATGCACCCTCAGAACACTCAGGCACAGCTTCAGCAAAGCGGTCCACAACAACAACAACAGCAGCAGCAGCAGCAGCAGCAAGCAGCTCCACAAGAGCCACCCACCCCCCCTTTTGTGCGTCGTCCACTCTCATTAGAGGAGACCCCCTTTACAGCATTCTTTAATGTACCTCTGATGGGCCGAGGTTGCCCGTTAGATATGTATCTTGATGGCAAGACTCCTACACGTGGCACGGAGTTGACCATATTGAACAACTCCGATTACGAAATCATTATTGGTGGCGTGGAGCTCAAGCAGGAGGATATGCTTTCCTCCTCTCCTGATAGTGCACGAACAGTTCCGACGCGGCGATGGCCGCAACAGATGCGTGTGCCCGGTGGCGGTAGTCGCGCCACGTGCATCATTGCGCTGCACCCAAGCTATCCCCGGGCCTCGTCTCTTTTCATGCTTGTGGTGGTGTATATCTTCTGCAATGGCCGGTACACTCCCTATGCAGCTCGGTTTGCCGTTTAAACATGAAGAACATGAGGATAAAGAGATGCGTGGCCATATTGGATGCCGAGCATTAAATGTATGAAATGCCGGTCAGCTCCATTCATTCTGTTAATTAACAGAATGTTTTTTTATTGTTTAGAATATATCCAAAGTGTATTCCGCACCTCCTCCTCCTCCTTTCCTTCACACTGCAACCCAGTGCTCGTTGCGGGGGAAGAGGAAATAGTGGGTGCGTTTGGTGGTTTGGTATACGGCGTCTCTACATGCTCTCTTTCTCCTCGCGTGCAAAGGTTGTGTACAAAAAGGGGATAGGGACCACTTTATGACGTCGGATCCAAAGACGCGCTTGCGTGTTGGTATACTTGGTGCTGCGAGGGTCCTGCGTAAGTCTTGGGTCGCCATCCACGCGGCGGGGCATGAGGTCACTGCAGTGGGTTCTCGCGACACGGCCCGAGCGCAGAAGCTCATTGACGAGTTGTGTGTCTCCCTGTCACTCACAAAGAGGCCCCTTGTTGGAAGCTACGATGACGTTGTGATGGCGTCAGGCATTGACGTTGTGTACATCCCTATCCCTACAGCGGCTCGCCAGAAGTGGATGCTGGAGTGCGCCAAACGAGGCAAGCATGTAGTGGGTGAGAAGCCGGCAGCCGAGTCGTGCCAGCAGCTGGAGGAATGGCTGCGTCTTTTCTCCGCGAAGAGGCTACTTTTTGTAGATGGCACGATGCTGTCCCATGGGAACCGTGTCCATGACGTGCGTCGTGCTATGCAGGAAATTGGGAAACTTCGCCGCATGGAAGCACACTTTGCCTTTTTGGCCTCGGATGACTTCCTACAAAATGACATTCGCCTAGACCCCGCACTGGAGCCCATGGGAGCGCTGGGCGACCTTGGGTGGTACTGTGTGCGCTACTTTCTCCACATGGTGGACTTCACCATGCCGACCACAGTCATGGGGCGTGTGGCGCAGCGCAGTGGTCCTAAAAACGGTATATCCGACTTTTCTGGAGAACTGGTCTTCACAGTGGACGGTGAGCCGGTAGTAGCGTCCTTCTTTTGCACATTTCACGCGGCACAAGAGCAACTAGTACGCATCAAATGCGACAATGGCATCATCACAGTGCACGGTGCCATCAATCCCACAGACGAGGAGACACCAACGTTCAAAATTGAGCGTAATGCCTTTGAGTGGACTGATGGGGTGCCGTCTTTCCACAGGGAAGTCGAAACGCGTCGCTGTGCCGAGAACTGCACGCACCAGATGGTGCAGCTGTGGCGAAATGTGGAGCTCGCACTCCTGCGCAACGACCCGGAGGAGCCGCTTGTGGTGGTACCAGATAAGTCGGCAGAGTGGGCACGCATGGCATGGGTAACGCAGTGCGTGTGTGACAAGCTCCTGGAGTCTGCGCGAAATACTGCCGACCGTGCGTTGACGGCAGCTGCCGCAATGAGCAATGTCGACAAGGAAAGTGGGCCTAATAACGAAACCTTTGTGCCGCCACCACAAGCCCCATCTCCAGCCCTTCCTGTTCCGCCAGAAACTAAAGCTTTGACCCCAGCAGAAGGAACAAAAAAGATGGTGATTTCGGTGGTAGAAGTCTGAGTTTGGGTTTTAGTTGTTGTTGTTGTTGTTTTCATATACATATATATATATATATATATATCACCACTTATCTCTCTTTGTGGAATTGTATGTGCCTTGCCATGGGTACACTGGTGCTCTATGTCCTATCTATTTGCATTTCTATATATATATATATATATTTGCTTTCTCCTCGTCTTTGCAGGACCTTCTTTCGTCGCATTGGTCGAACCCAAAATTATCTCATTGCAATCGTATAGCAATCAAGCAAGAATTCAAAAAAGAATACACAGTTTTTGCTTTTCAGCCCCACATGACGCCGGTAGCTCGCGTGGGTCTCCTTGGTGTCTCCGCCATTGCACGGAAGGTATGGGCCGCTATTCACAAGGCGGGACTCGTCGTTACAGCAGTGGGGGGCCGTAGTCCAAAAACAGCTGAATCCTTTGTGGAGGAATGCTGCGGTTACCTTGGTATTGATGCATCAAACAAACCTCGAGCTTGCAACTACTACGAATTGGTGAATTTGCCAGACGTGGATATTGTGTACATTTCTCTCCCAGTCATGGAGCGCCCGGCATGGGTGATGAAGTGCGTGGATAAAGGCAAGCACGTTGTGGGCGAGAAGCCCCCGGCGGAGAATATTGACGTGCTATGTGTGTGGTTAGAGAGGCTTAACAACCTACGGCTGCTATACATGGACGGTACCATGTTCTCTCATGGCCCATGGGTAGAGAAGCTGGTGGAGAACCTCCCCCGTTGTGGGAGGATTCGCCGCCTGACGGCGACCCTCTCGTGGTGCGCGGATGAGGAGAAGCAAAAGAATGACATTCGCTTTAATCCCACACTGGAGAACCTCGGCGCACTGGGTGACTGCGGGTGGTACTGCGTGCGGGTGATGCTGCATGCGATGAACTTCAAGATGCCCAAGACAGCAGTGGGACGCATATTGGAGACAAACAGGAGGGGTGCTATCGTCGCCTTTTCCGGCGAACTCGCCTTTGAAATGGAAGGGGAGATTGTCACGGGATTCCTCTACTGCGCCCTCAACAGTGCTCCACAGGCGGAGTTTACAGTGTCGGGAACCACAGGCATGATTGATTCCCCGAACATCTACAACCCTGTCACCGTAGGCCCCAGCTGTGCCAGCTTCAAGTTGTTGGAAGCGCGAACCGAAGCGAATGGCACAGAGTTGGCCATCACGCATGATGAGCACATTATTGAGGTTCCCGAGGAAGACGGTTTCTTCCAGGAGGTGCAGATGTGGCGTGACGTTGCAGCCGCTCTCTCCCCCAATAGTGAAGGGAAACTCCTGGCATCCATCGATGCGATGGAGAAGTGGGGCCACATGGCGTGGATGACGCAGTGCATCTTGGACACGCTGGTGAAGTCGGCGAGGCTGCAACAAGGTGTGTAATTTAGTGTGAGAATCGTCCAGAACATGGCTTTACCTTTGCTCGAAATAGAAATGGAAATGACCAATGAAATATGGGATTATTTTCATTTGTATATTTAAGCGTTCGCTGTTATTATTATTGATATTACTGGATTGGTACACTTTTTATTTGTTTATTTTATTTTTTTTGTTCATTCGTGGGGTATTGTATGTGTTCTGATGTGTGTGTGTGTGTGAGTGTCTCTTTGAGTTGGGCACCACGCAGCATTCGTTGACTGAGCGGCATGGGGGAAAGAAGGTGTGTAGAGAGAGGTTGCTGGAGAGAGAAAGAGAGAGAGTGTGTGTGTGAGGCGCGGACGCAACCATGTGGCGAGGCCCTTCTGGTTATTCATGACTCTTGTGTTGGGCTACCATCACGGCGCAAGCCCGTCTTTCACATCATACGAGCCTATGTGTGATGGCCGTTGTATACGGAATTGTTATGATGCGGTGGAGCAAGAGTAACTCATCTCTGCGTGTTCGGTTACTCTGGTCTGTTTTTCTGTCTCTGTGCCATTGTAGTTCCACCTTGGCACAGCCTTCGCTGTGTGGTGTGGCAGCTTGTGAGTGTGTGCATGGGTGCGTGTTGCCTCTAGCCAGCATGCCTTCGAAGCGAGTTGTGGTGAATCTGTCAGAGAATTACGGCGATATTCGCATCCCATGCTCGCTGTTACCAGGCGCCAACGCCGCCGCGTACAGTGAACAGGCCGTTCTCTTCATGGCGCCGTTACGTGTGGGTCATCCTCTTCACTGGTGTGAAGAGTATCAACACACGGATAGTGATGACAGTTATGACAAGGCTGGGGCGGTAGTCTTGAAGCCGGCTCCGCCATTGGACGAGGAGGGCATTGCGAGGGCTTCGCTTCCCTCCGTTGTGGAACCGCCATGCAGCCCTGCGATGCGTGGGAGGTTCACGCGAGCAGTGTGAGCCACACACATATACACGCTCATGAGTGCAGACCTCGACAACTGTGCTTGTGTCTAGAGTTACCGCCTTCATTCTGTGGAGGTGCGGCATTCTGCCCTCTATCTATCTATCTATCTATCTGTGTGTGTGTGTGTGTGTGCGTGTATGCACTGCAGCACATCCCTTGTTATTGTGTTATCCCTGTCATTCTCGATCTCCCTATTGCAGGTTGTAGTTACCTTGGAGGGAAGAGGAAGAAGTGAATGACAGAGAGACCACTGGCCGCTGCCAGTCCGCATCCCGCTGGCGCGATCGTGTTTCTTCGCGATGGGGACGCCCCTACCTCAACTTGTGCGCCCATAGCTCTTAATGGCAGCGTCACAATGCGAGAGTTGGCGGAGGAGTACTGCATCAGCAGCGTATTAGAGTGTGATGCGACAGGCTGTGTGCAGCCGCGGGCAGTGGCTCTGGACTCGCCATTAGACACCCTCCACGGCGGGAAGTATTACATCGCCAGACGCGACTTGCCACGGGTGCGGCGCTCCCCTCGGGTCGCGTTTCGCGGGAAGATAACGGTGGAAGAGTTCGAGGCGGACCACGCGGTGACAACACAACAGAAGGAAAACTACGGTCTGCCTGCGGTGGCCGCGATTCACTTCACGAGAAAAGTCTCACGGAAGCGTCAGCAACGCGACGAAGATGGAGAGGGGGAGAATGAAGACCACTACAAAAAAGAGACGGAAGATGATGACGACGATGCGGGGCTCATGTACGACAATATTGAGGCGGCAACGCACACGTTTGCACCGTTCGTGGGTGATCTTTACGGCGACGGTCGCGAGGAGCTAATCCAACTCAAAGATATACATCGGTTGTGCGAAAATGTAGAGAGCGATGAAGCCGAGTTCTTTGCACGGCACGCACAGGCGAATAGAGTTTTGTTTGAGGCGAAGAAAGCGCTTCTCCTCCTTTCCGGTAGTGGCGGAACTGAGGGAGGTGCAACAGTGGAGTAACTGGACGCGTATGACATGTCGTTCAGAGTCTAGAGTTACTCCCTTCTTTTGTGGTGCTGTTTTTGTTGTGGATTCAGTGCCCACGGAGTAGGGCCAAGGGGAAGAGAAACTTTCTCTTTGTGTCGAGCAGTCGCTGTAATTGGTGTACTATAGAAGGAATACATGCTACAACTTCTTCTTGAGCAGTAAGAGGTGTGGGCATGATTGTTGTGGATCTTTTTTTTGCGGCGTATTATACTTATTATTTTACTGATCTCTCTCTCTCTCTCTCTCTTTGTGTGTGTGTGTGTGTGCGGGCATCATTCTGCAGTACAGATGCTGACGCCTGTTGTCTTTCGTTTTTCTCACCTCTGAATGTAAGGAAAGACAGAAGGTGGTGGGAGCGAGGCGCATGGACATTGCCGCCCACTCCGAGCTGCTTCATTCACGCTACGGCGCGTGTGTGCCTCTTGTCGGCCCCGCCCGTGCCTCACCGCGGGGCGGTACCAACGAGCAGAGGGGTGATATCGCCTACCTCTCCTCTGTCGAGACGCCGTCTGAGGTGTGTCTGGGCCTCGCTTGTGTGGCGCGGCGGCGCGGCGCAAGAGACACACTGCTCGTGTTTGTCCCCTTCGATGAGCCGAGGAACGAGATATTTGTGGAATTACCCCTCGTGGCCTTCAGGGACGCCGAGGACCCGGCGAGGCGGCGGGGCCTGCAACTCCTTCCCCTCAACGAGTACTCATTCCTTTGTTGTCGTGTCAAAGATGGGCTTCCGCCGCGCAAAGGTCTGTTCGTCACTTTCCGCTCTAGCGCCGCACAAAAGCGTTTTCAAAATGCGTTTCGGCAGGCGGTTTGCGACGGTGCCATGGATGACTCGCGCCAAGGCTGTGGTATTCCCCAAAACATTACAGTGGGCAACGAGGCGGTAAATGAGAATTATACCGAGGTGGTGGCGACACGGGGGGGCACCAAGCTCATGTCACCGTCCAATGGAGAGCGGGTATATGAAACTGCGTCGTTTATCGATGGACTTCTCGCGGAGCGCGACCGGCGGCGGGAGGCATACCTGACAGACACTCGTAGCCAGCCGCCAACGGATGGGCGGCAGAGCGGCGATACGGGATTTAGTGCCTGGGCACGGCAGCATCAGGCATCGTACCCCAAGACGTGGAATATGCTCGCTGGTGCGGCGGAGCGTCAGGTGGAGATGGAAAGGCGCGCACAACACCGCGATGGGAGTAGGGCCGGGTGGCCCTCCTCTACCAGTGGAGTCTCTCGGGAGCAGCTTCACCCGCCCACGCTTGAGGGGCGGGTGGCTCGTCTTGATGAAATGCGCGCTGCGATGGAAGTCTTTGACAGCATGAACGAGGCGCAGGGGTGTGGTGAAATGAGTCTTATGGGGGCAGCTCGTGAGTTTCTTCGCCAGCACCAGGACAACCTTTGTCGACTTGAACAGGGAGGTGGTGCAATGTGGCCATCGCAGCCGCCGGCTAATGACAATCGTGATGACGTTCCGTTACCCTCTGGGGACGCAACGCAGCAGCATTCAGTAAAGCTACCACTAGAGGGTGCACAAGAATCAGGGGTGGCAGCGTCACTTGCGCAGCAAGTGCGATATGATGGTTTACGGCTGCAACAACCACAACTAGAGAAGCCACGAGAAGATTATTATCATTATCAGCAGCAAAGACAAAATCCAGCGCCAGAGATGACGGCAATGCCGCAACCCAACGCAGGTGCCGCTGCGCCGTCGAGAGGATCTGAATCATTGGGGTCAGGAAAAGGCGCTGTAGATCCTCTCTTTTTACCTCATGGTTCGCAAAGGAAGATACAGGAAGATCTGCGGCGCGCACGCGAAACAGAGTCACGCATCTTGACTGCGCTTCAAAAGGCGCCGTCGAAGTCAACATCTGCCAAGAGCATGTTTGGCAGTACCCCAGGGACANCTTTGCTTCGCCCTTCGCCATCAGACGTGGGAGCGGGAACGGGTATAGGAACGGAAGGAGGAGGAGGTGATATCGCCATGCCTTCTCTCGAAGCGACCGACACGACGGTGCCGTTGGTGGCACCACCAATACATATCGAAGATGTGGTCAGCGAACCTGCGAAAGAGTCGCCAAAGACCACCAAAGAGGAGACGCCACGTTGTGGAAGCGGGTGGAATGCAGTACGGGACCCCTCCAGCGGCAAGTATTACTACGTCCATACTGCGACAAAAAGGACGACATGGAAGGTAGAAGAGACATTTGAAGGTGAAGAACATCATCATCATAAGCCGCAGCAGGAGAAGGAGAAGGAGCAAGGAAAAGCGGTGAATGAGGCACCAAAGTGTGGCCCTGGGTGGCGTGCGGTAACAGACCCGCGCACCGGTCGCACATACTACGTGAACAAGTCGACCAATGCGACGACATGGAAACTAGGAGAAACTCTGGGGGTGGAGGGAGGCGGTACCTCAGTCGCGGACACGGAGTCCTCGCAGAAGCAGAATGTGACAAAAAAGGCCGAGTGGGCCGAGCGCAAGGATCCCGCAACGGGAAAAGTGTACTATTACAACAAGAAGACAAAGCAAACGACGTGGAAGCGGTCGGAAACCGACCTGGAGCCTGCGTGATTGCACGACTGTACCCCATGCTGTGTGCGTGTGTGTGTATGCACGAAGTTGTGTCTGCAACGAGGGAACACCAAAAAAAAAACAGACGACAAAAAAAAGGAACATCGATGGCCAAGTTATTTTTGCTCCCTCCCTCAGCATGTCGAGAGATGGAACAAAACAAGATGGAAATAAGTAAGGTAATATTATTATGCGGTGTATCCACCTCCATTATTGTTTATTTATTTGTTTGTTTATTTCCTATTTCAGCCCCAATAATAGGGAGGATGGATATATTGCGGAAGGCTATAGAGGTGAAGCTCACGCGCCTCCCAACAACTGTAGATGAAGAGCCTACAACGCTGTTGCTGTCGTGGCAACCGATACGCTTTCAGCTCACCATCAGCTTCTTCAATAAAGAGGGAGAACGCGGCCGTGATGGCGCGGCGCTCTTAGCGGCGCTGGGTGAAAATGACTTTGACCTCATGTGGCGAAAACTTTTTCACACGATCCGTATTGTGCCTGTTGTGGTGGAGGCCACCGCATCACCAGACTCTGGAGAAATCAAAGGTCCACAGTCAAGGCAGCCATCACCGTCATCAGAACAGAAAAATGCAGCGCAGCATGGAGAGATCTGCTATTTTTCTTTCGAAGCCCCTGCGTTCTGGGGCAGTCGATCCGCTGTTGAAACAGCCTCCGATTGTGAGCTGCCTGGTGTAACAGGCCCTTCGGGAAGGATCCTCACACTGGTGGCGGAATCTAGGGAAGATGATGTTGCAGCTGGAACAGCCTCATCAAAGGCAGGTGATCTGGAAATCGGTATGAGAGGAGCGATTCCTGGTTGCATTACGTCTACGTACAAGTTCAACTATACTCTACCGGATTTGGGGGAGTTTCACGGATCCATTACAATGGGATATGTGCTGCTGTTTACTTTTTGTGGCACAGATAGTCATGATAGTGAGAATGCGGTGATGCTTAACGCGCTGGTCCCAGCGGAGGAACGGTCAATATCGTGGTATAGACCAAAACCCGTGGTGTTGGGGACCTGTTATTACCGGGCAAATGTGGGTCAGGTGCTACGCTGTACCTCGGTGGCGCGACGAGCAGCCCATCTCCGGGTACTGGTAAATGTGAATGTAACAAATGTTGCGGAAGTTCCTGTTCTTGTGCAGCAGGCATCTTTTGATATATTTTCTACGTGGATAGGAGAGAACCTCGGTAGTCTCTCCAGCGTCCCTCTGTGGTCTGAGCAGAGGGCTGGGCCACGCGGCGCAGACATGAGAGCAGTTGAGCTCCTGCGGCGCGCAGTTACTGTAACACCGATTGTAGTGCATGAGTTTCACGTTCCGTTGACCCTAGAGTCTGGAGAGTCTGCTGGATTTCAATTTGTCATTCAGGTGCAGCCCTATTTGTGTCACCTTCTTGAATCACACTCACTTCAAGAGTTGTACGGGAAATTTGTCAAGTCTCCTCACAGAGAGGCAGCAGAGATGGAGACGAGAGATGCTTTAAAATGTGCTGGAACAGCAGCAACAAACCCCTCTAGTCCACTAGCCTCTTTTATCAATGGTATTTCTCGTGACGATCTCCTTCAGGTTCTTTCTTGGAGCTTTACCTCCCACGTGTACGTGTACTACGAAGTGATTACTCCTACAGGTAGCAACGTAAAGGACAATGACAAGAACAAGAGGGGAGCG